GAAAAAGGGACTCTTTTTTCAGAAATGGAAGATCTCTTTGAGATGGTGGCAAAAATTGTGAATGTTTTCAAAATGGACAAAATAAAAGTGGGGGGATACTGGATCTCTTATACAGTGTGTTCTTTAGACTATTTTCTGCTGATCACTGCCTGTGAGCTATTTTACAACTCTAAATGCAGACAACTGATAGCAATGCAACTGAATGTTTTCCTGTGAAAGTGGAATTGATTTCCCTTCCTTCACTCCTCCATGAAAGAAGCCAGCTCTGCATATATTAAGCAGATTGATTTTAACATTCCTGATGGCTGGTCCTAGTCCTAACCTGAGACTGGGTAATGTATAAAGAAAAGAGGTTTTTAGCTCATGGTTCTGGAGCAGGAAGTTCAAGATCAGGCAGCCATATCTGATGGGGGTCGTGCTGGGTGATAACCTCACAGACAGCATCACATAGTGCAGTGTGTGTGAAAACTGCAGGCATGGACACAGGTGGAGACAGAACATGAGAGCACCAACCCACTCTTGAGATAACTGACTCACTCTTGGGGGAACTGCATCAATCCCTTCCCAAGCACGCAGCCCTAATGACCTATTTACCCTCAAAGGCCAAGAACCTCTCAGCGCTGTTACACTGGGGACCAAATTTCAACAGGAGTTTCAACAGAGGATGGACCAGAGTAGCGTGGCCTTCATACACAGCTGCTCTTAGGGGTCTCCTTGTAACCCTCGTGACATCTCATGGGTTTCCTTGCTAATGAGCTAGGTGAAATCTTTGACATGTGTTCATTATATATTCAGACGAGCCACTGACTTAGCTTAAAAAATAATTATCCTTTGACATATTTAAATTCAGTCCCCCCAAAGACTCCAGTTTGAGAGCTACTCAGCCAACATTCATATCAAGACTGAATAAGCAAAGTGGGTCACCTGTTTCATGATCTGTGTGTTGATAACATGTGCCAAAAACACCTCTGTAAGACAGGATCCAGGGAAAACGGGGTTCCAGCTTAGAGGCTGACATACTTTTATCATGGGTGCAGATTAAATAAAAGTGATATTGATTTTTCTAACATGGATGGCAGTTAAAAGAACATTTTAACATTTTTAAAAGGATTCTAATGCTTAGATATTTTGAGCACAGGGCACAGCTGTGTGCTGAGAATTTTTAAATAGCATAGAAAATTTAGAAATGACCTAGTTTACTCCCTTCATCTTATCAATGAATCATGCCAAGAAAACTTAAGTCACTTGGTTGAGATCATTGTATTTGTCTGTTTTTCATTACTATAACAAAATTTTGAAGGTAGATAAACTTATAAAGAAGAGAGGTTTGAAATGTATCTCACAGCTTTGGAGGCTGAACGTCCAAGATCAGCAGCCCCATTCGTTTGGTGTGTGGTGAAGGCTGAACTCCAGACAGCAGATGTGTGGCGGGAGCAAAGGTAAGAAACCAGAGGTGGACGGGAGTCACATAGTCCCTTCCAAGGGCAGTGCCTCAGAAGTGATCTAAGAACTTCCACTAGAGCTTCCCTCAAAAGGTCCCATGGCCTCTCAGGTCACCACATTGAGGGACACACCTCCAACACATGAACCCTTGGAGGACAAACCACATCCAGGCTGTATTAGTTACCTCCCCATTGCTGGACACAACACCCAGCACCACAATTTAAAGGAGAGGTTTAACTTGGCTCACGGTTTTCAGAGGATTCAGTCCATGGTTTGTTGGCTCCAAGACAGACATGGTAAGGCAGAGGGCATGGCAGAGGAAAGCTGCTGTACCCATGTCAGCCAGGAAGCAGAGAGAGAAGGGAGCAGGCCAGGACAAGAATGCACCCTCCAGGTTATGTCCTAGTGATCCACCTCCTACTAGGCTCCACCTCCTGACTACATCCAGCCATGAATTCATCAAGGGACATTATGGTTTAGATCTACAATGTCCTCCGAATGTCTCGTGTGTTTGGAAGGTGATTGGATCATGGGCAGCTATAGCTGACTTGTTGTTAGGAGGTGGGGTCTGGTTGGAGATGAGTCATGGGCATGGCCCAGCAAGGGGTATTCTTGTGCTTGGCTCCTCCTCTCTTTCTTTGCTTCCTGGCTGACATGAGCAGCTTTCCTCCACCAGGCCCTTCTACCATGCCATCCTGCCTTGGAATCAACCAATCATAGACTGAATTCTCTGAAAACGGAACCTAAATAAACCTATCTGCCTGTGAGTTGGGTGTCCTGTCCAGGATGGGAAAGTGACTAATACAGTGAATTAATCCGTCAACGAGTATAGCGTCCCCATGACCCAGGCAGGTCCGCACACTCCACCTCTGAGTGCAGGACACTGCTAGGGGACATATTAGAGCTAATCCGTAACACAATCCATGACGATTGGCAGCTAATAATGGCCAGCTGAGACATAAGCCAGTTCCTTCCTCTTAGCTCCATAGTCTTCCTATTGCTCCCTGATATCAGAGCCAACCAGAATTTCACAGGTGATTCTCTACAACGCTCAAGAAAGAATCGGGGTGTTGGTGATGGACAGCAGACGTAAAGAAGTTTTGGATTAAGAAATAGTTTCAGTTTCTCATCTGGCTTTACTACCTATCTGTGTTCCTTAGTTTTAGTTTCTTATCAGTGAAGTGTGCATAGATTGTGAAATAACAAACTCCCCCATAAAAGAATTATAAAGAGCCTAACACAAAGTAAATGCTTAATATGCCATAGCCATTACCAAGTGGCACTCCTAACCTTAAAAAAATCCAGATATAGTAAAGTAACCATCTATGTGTCACGAAAACACTTTGGTAGCTGAGGAATACACAGCTGATGGAAGTGACACTTATAATAAATTAGTACTTTTATGTTTACATGAAATTTGCACAAACACTCCCACACAAATGTCAGTTTAAAAACTCCATCTCTGTTGAACGAACAATCCACAAATGCTCCAATCATTTCATCTGGATGCTTAAGAACAGCCCGCCTCTGTCCTTAGACACAATCTGCTTACGTTAAACTCTTTAGAATGAAACATAAACACAGTATTTTTGAAATCACAACCACAGGGCCTGGGTCTGATGCAATTCCAGAGAGGCGAGGCTGCACGAGTGGTGAGCGGGTCAGATGGTGACAGCCCCCAGTTTATCATCAACAGTAAAAAGAAACAGCGTTCCTTCAATACCTCAATTTGAACAAAGGGTCCTCAGATGTGAAGTTTTAAATGTTTTAACAGAAACTGAGGATGATATGCATTTCCCACGGCAACAGAAGCGGAAGTAGAAAAGACCATTATCAGCTCCCTAGCTTACTTGGTGTTAATTTGCTAGGGCTGCCACACAGAATGCACCCAGAACAGGAGAACAGGTGTTTATTGTCTCAGGGCTCTGGAGGCCGGAAGTCCTCCTCAGGGTCAGCAGGCCCCGCTCCCTCCGCGGTTCTTAGGAAGGATGCGTTCCGGGCCTCTCCAGCGCCTGCGATTGCTTGGCTTTGATCTTCACGTGGCTTCTCCTTGTGTGCACTTCTGGTGCGGTGTTCAAATTTCCCCCTTATCTAAGGACATCAAATTGGATGGGGCAACCTCAATGACCTCGTTTCCCAGTAAGGTCGCACTCGCAGGTGCTAGCGGTTACAGCATCTGGAGACTCTTCGGCCCACAGCAGCCACGCCTCCTCCTCCTCCTGACTCGGACACTTTCGTGGCCAGCGGCCCCCGCCATTCATTCAACTGCCATGTGACTGCACGTGTCAGGCTCTGTTCTGGGTACTGACCCCCAAACAAGCCACACTTTGGACGAAACCAGAGATACAATATTATGACAATAAATGCTATTACTGAGCAGGTATTGCTTTTATTTTTTTTGAGACAGGGTCTCACTATGTAGTTCGGGCGGGCCTTGAGCTCACTATGCAGCTCAGGCTGGCCACAGACCTGTGGCAGCCCTCCTGCCTCAGCCTCCGAGTGCTGGAATCACAGGCGTGCGCCCCCACGCCTGGCGGTATCGCTGTTTAATAGGTGCTTTTCTTCTTTTGAGTTGAGTCTCCCTGCGTAGCCCAGGCTGGCCTGGGAGTCGCTGCGATCCTCCGCAGCCTGACTATCCGTCCTTTCATTATTCTCGGAAAAGTGTGCATGAGCAGGCTCGCGAGGGGCCTGGAAGTGCTCGGAGGCCGCGCGGCGCGCAGAGACCCGCGGACTGGGGCGCAGGCACCCGCCTGGCTCTGGGGCGCGGGGAGGGCTGGACGGGGCCGCGGATCCCCGCCCCCTGCCGGCCCCGCCCCTCCTCTCTCCCCGCCCCTTCCCCGCCCCTCCCGGCTCGGCCGAGCTCGCGCCCGCCGCGAGCTCCCCGCAGCCCCGTGCTCATCCGGGTCTCTGCGCGCCTCAGCCAATCGAGGCCGCTCGCAGCCTCGGGGGCGGGGCTCAGCCTTCCCCTGCAGCAGGCCTGTGGCGGCCACGGCAGCCTGCTGGGGCCCGCGCCGGGTCACTGAGGAGAGGGCAGTGGCTGGGAGCCCCGCACCTGGGCGAGGGCCGACACCGTGGGGATGGCGCGGCCGCGGGCTCTCCGGGAGCGGCCGGAGCGCGTGCAGGCGGCCTGGCGTAGTAAACACACTTCAGAAACGTGAGGTGCCGGGGGTCACGTGGGCCGCGCGACGGCCAATGGGCGCGTGGGGGCGGGGCTGGTGCTGACGCGGCGGCGGCGGAGTCACCCGGGCAGCCTCGGGACCGACCCGCCGCGCCCGGTGCCTGCCGCGCTCCGTCCCGCCGCCGACCCCGCCTCGCGCTCCTGTCTCTGCGCTCGCGTCCCAGCGGCGACTCCGGGGGCGGCGAGGTCTCGGGGACGAGCGCCCCTGCTCCGTCGGTGCCCGCGCGGGCCGGGGTGGCGCCGGGAGCCCGGGCCGCGGAGTTATGCGAGTCCCGCGGGCGGGCGAGGGCTCCTGAGGGCGGTGCGCGGACCTCGGCTCGAGCGCCCGCCTCCGGCGCGGCCGGCCCTGCCTCGCCCCTCGCCCCTCGCCTCTCGCCCCTCGCCCCTCGCCTCTCTCCTCTCGCCGCGGCGGCGGCCATGAGCCGGGCCCCGAGCCCCTGACTCGGGCGGCAGGACGTCGCGGCCCGGCATGGCGGTGAACGCCGTGCACTGGTTCCGCAAGGGGCTGCGGCTCCACGACAACCCCGCGCTGAAGGAGTGCATCCGCGGCGCCGACACCATCCGCTGCGTCTACATCCTCGACCCCTGGTTCGCCGGCTCCTCCAACGTGGGCATCAACAGGTGGCGGTGAGTGTGGGCCGCGGGGCGGGGGCCTCACAGCTCCGGGGCGCAGAGCGCCGTGGCTTGCGCGCCAGCTCGGTGTCCTCGGAGCTCGTTCCCCTCTTCGCTTCGGAATTAAACCGCATCCCGGCCCTCAGTGGCCAGATTGACTCTTTGGCCCCTTTGTGGCCTTTGAAGGGATGGTGACTTTAACGTTTACGGTCCTGTGTGTCTCATAATCATAGTATGAAGGAAAATCATTGATTTAGTACAGTGAGTACAAACCCGGTTTCTCCCCCCTTGAGGCTGCTGTAGGAAAAGCCAGGGGGACGGCGTCTGCCGGGCTCTGTGCTCAGCTCTCCCTCTCCGCTCCCCCTTGTGGTTCGCTCGACAAAGTACAGCTTTTTCTTTCTAGGCAAAGTGTGATCAACCTAGGTACCGGCCCTGGAGGAATCCTAGGACTAGCTTTATGGTTTTTTCCTGGGGAAACCGGGAAAGAGGGTTGTTAGCCCCCCTGGTGGAAATGAAAGCGCTTGCTGAGGGATAGATTACTACTGATCGCTTCCTGGATGTCAGGCAGCGATTCCCATGCCAGGGACATAGCAACGGATGCAAGAGTAAGTCCCGTCCTCTTACAGACTTACGTTTCAGGAAGTGAGATATATGTTTAGTATTTTAGGTCGTGACAAATGCTGTGACGAAAAATAAGGCAGAAGAGATACGGAAAACGAGGGTGGGGATGGGACTTGCGGCGTTAAGTGCGATGGCCAAGGTAAAAGTCACAGAGAAGGTGACGCCTGATGCGGACCAGACCAAACCGAAGGAGGTGAAGTCTGGAGGGGAACTTTCTGGCTAAGGGAACCGTAAGGGAAAACGCCCTGCCGCGGAAACCGGGCTTGACCTTTGGAAGGAACAGCAGAGGGAGCCAGTGCGACTGGAGCACCGCGAGCGGAAAGTGGAGGCATGAGGTCAGAGTTCTGATCCGGCCAGACAGCAGAGCTTTATTAGCGATTCAAGATTTGTGCTTTCACTCAGAAGAAGTAGAAGTAATTGCAGGATTATGAACAGAGAAGTGATGTGAGTTGACTTCAGTTTGAAAAAAATGTCTCTGGTTGTGGTTTGAGAACAGAGTGAATTGGGGAGTGGAAGAGGACAAGAAGCAGGAAGACAACCATCACATCGGTCCAGGTGAAAGTGAGAGCGGCTTGGACCACAGTGAGGACGGGAGGCAGTGAGGAGCACTCTGACCCAGGCAGAACACACAGAGTTGGATGTGTGGCAAGAGAGAAAGAAAAGGAGTTAGGGATGATTTCTAAAGTGTTGTTAGGAGCACTTTGCTAAGAAGCTGAAGCCTTTGGGAGGGTGGTTGGCATTCGGTTTTGGAGTTTAAAGTTTGAGATGTTTTCTACACATCTCAGTAAAGACAGTGAACAGGCAGTTGGTTGTATCTGGAGCTCAGGACATGGATCCTGGCTGGGAGTATATCCTGGAGACTTACAGTTTATGGATAATACAAACAGCCATTGATTCATCTATCTGTTTATTGAATGAATATTTATCAAGCAGCCATCACATGACAGACTCTGTTTTAGGTGTAAGGGATTCCTCATAAAATCGCCCCAAATCCCCACCTTGTCTGGACCTGCATTCCAGAGGACCGGTGAGCCTGCATGAGAAGGTTAAGAAAGTGTAAAGCTGGGCCTCGAGGACCTGCCTGTGAAAGTTCAAGGCAAGGCATTGTCTCAAAATAAAAAAATTAAAAGGGCTATAAGGTATAGCTCAGCACTCTCCGTTCAACCTCCAGTATCACCAAAAAAAAGAAAAAGAAAACCATACTTTTTGGGGCGGGCAGAGAATCAAACTCAGGACCTTGCGCTTGCGAGGCAGCTGGCAGAACCACTGAGCTAAATCCCCGGCCCTAGAAAACCATACTTTCAAAGAGACAATTTGAGGCTTGAGCCTTGCATACTCTTAGCATTTCTCACTATAACTAGTTGGAGAGGAGATTCCAGGCTGGAAGATAGATCTTGGATTCCAGGCTAAGGAGTTTGGGCAGTATCTTATCAAGGCACTAAGGAAATTAATAAAGTTGTTTAAATACAAAATTACTGGCTGACAAAAACTAGTAATGGTCTACTGAAGAAAAGCACTGAATTTGGTGTTGTGAATCTTGATCACCCCAAAAAGACTTCCTTCTTTTATGATTTCAGTGAAATAGGTATTGCTGTCTACTCAAAACCACTCCTTTTGTCTCTGTTGTGTTTCAGCTACATGTGCTTCTTCATCATTGTCTTTTTCTTGCTTTTTGTTTGTTTTTTGTACTAAGGATTGAACTCAGGGCTTTTGGTCTGAGCTACATTCCCACCTCTTTATATTTTTAAAGTTTGAGAGAGGCCCTTGCTAAGTTGCCCAGGCAGAACTTGAATTTGTACTTCTGCTTGCCCTCCAAAGTGCCCTACCACACTCAGCATAACCATTCTTTTTTTAGATTGTTTCCAGTCAACATTTAAACAGGTTTAAAATTAAATTCTGTAAAAACAAAACCTATAACAACAGAGAAAATATAGCCTTCACTTTGTTGGCTCCTGTAACTATGTATCTTGGTTACCTTGTAGCTACACTCTTGAACAATGTGTCTACTGCTTGCTGACTTCATTCCCCCACCCACTTCTTAATTTTCTACTTATCCTTGGGCCCCAAACTAATCTCTAACTCCACCCCATCAACTCTACCAAAACTTTTCATCCAAAGGAGACTTTTAAACTTTTCGCTCCTTAACTTTTCCACAGCATCTGATACATTTGACCACACTTTTCTTCTCAAGGGGTTTAGTTACATCACCTTCATGGGTTTGGTTTTCTGCAGAGCTGTTAGGAGTTTTTCAGTTCAACCCTTAAGTGTCCCTTAAATCTGAGATCTCTACCTAGTTTTCACTTTACGTATTTCTAGGCAACTGCATCTCTTCTCATAAAATCAGTTGCCGCAAGTTCCCAAGCCATTGTCTTCAGCCCAGATCTGTCCTGATCCTGGTGTTATCTCCTGTATCTCTCCAGGCTGACTTCCCTCAAGCTCAGCCTGTTCAAAACAAAGTTCATCTTCTCCTGTATCTGTTGCTCAAAAACAAACAAAAAACCCAAACTAACTTTTTGTGTTTTCTATTTTCGTAAACAATGCTATCATTCACCCAGTTGCTCACCTTACAGATTAAATTAATTACATATCCATTTATTCAACAATATTTCAAGCCCTGCGAAATGTCAGTCACTTTGCTAATTTCTGCGGCTTAAGGAATAGTCAACAGATCATTTCTTTTCCCTCGGGGAGTTTACTGTAGGGAGGGATTTATTAGGAAGAAAACAGTTACAGAGATGCACTCTTCTCTCTCCATTGTGTTGTTAGCTGGTGTCACCGATTCTTTTTGGACTGTGTTAGTAGTCTACAATTCATTGTCTCTCTTCTAATTCATTTTCTACACAGCAGCCACAGTGACAACTTAAAATAGAAAACATGATCATATAATTTATGCTTTAAAATTCTTCAATGACATTTTTCCCTCCCTTAGGTTGGAGTTTAAAAAGCCACAGCATGGTTTTAAATCCAGTACAGTCCAGCCCTCTGTTTGTTTTATTTTGTTTTTTCCCCTATTTTGGGTAATTTTTGACAGAAGCATTTGAACTGAGCCTCTGTTTGAGGTGAATCTTAGCGAAGGAAGGAAGGAAAGGAATCCAAGCAGAGGGAAGGAGTTCCAGGGTGGAGGAACAGAAGTGTAAGGACAGGCACAGAACTCATCCTGTGGAGGAGGCTGGCAAAGCGGAATCCTGGGGAAGGGTTTAGTGCTCTTTGTTTGCTGCTTGGTTTCTGCAGTCAGACAGGCTTAAGCAGAAAGAGTTTATTGGAAGGTGGAGCAGAAGAATCCAAGAGAAACTGACTTTGACGTGCATTGAGGCCATGCTCAGAAGAGATCACAGGATCAAGTCTTCTTGCTGTCTCTGAGCTTCACTTTTTCTCCCTTGGGTTCCCAGACTAGCTGTCCTCTGGTGGCAAAATATAGCAGTGACAGTAGCAATTAACACAGTTAAAAACAAAACAACAACAAAAAATACCTCCGCCCCAAAAGTCTGAGCAAAAGCCTGTAGTTTTATATGAGTATTTTACCATTTTGAAAATTAAACTTAAGGCTTTGGTGAATTTGAGAGAGCGTGTCAGTGTAGTAATAAGGATGGAAGTCAGCTTGTAGGGTATTGCCAGAGTGTGAGTGACGGCTGGGGAGGTGGGAGTGGGTGACTCAGGTTGGAATGGGAGGGAGCATTCAGGTGGAGAAGTAAGAAGTGATCTGAAGGCATAGGTCCTGGGTAGGCTGAGGGCTAGAATACTGGGCAGGCCGCCATACTTACAGTCACGACTGAGCATAGTAGATCCCCAGGATGATAAATAGAAAATAAGCTGTAAAGATAAATCGAGTCCTGTGTTTGGGGTTCTTTGAGTACGTAGCGAAGCACTTTTGGGACATCTGACTGTCCTAGGACCTAGGTTGTAATCCCTGCTTTCCTGATAAGCAGTAGGACTGACCTTGAGTAGGTCATTTCTTTTCCATTCATTCAGGGAACATTTAGTGAGGAGCTCACCTGCTAGCACTATACAGGGAAATGGAGTTACAGAAATGAAGGTCAGAGTGGGGATGTGGCATGATGCTGGAGCACATGGTGAGAGTGAGCATGGCCCTGGGTTTGATCCCTAGTAACACACACAAACACACACACACAGTGAAAGTCATGGTTCTGACCTATAAGGAAACTTTCGCACCACTAAAAGATAATTGGATATCATAATTAGGTTACAGAGTGTTAAATAAGACCTCTGTTAGAAATATGCAAAGGCAATCATGGGTGCACAGAGGAGAAACAATCCAGGGAGATGTAAAGGAGGTAAAGGCAGCTCGTGTATGTGAGGAGGGAGATATGTGTGGGTAAGGAGGGAGATATGTGTGGGTGTGGGAGGGATTTGAGAGGGGGCTCGGGAGTGCTTCC